TTTTTTTCACCCTATGTTAGGCCTTGGTGTCATGGCAATACTGTGAGGACCAAATATCCCTGAGGAATTTAGCCCACACAAGCAATACGACACCGCACAACAGCCAGTCAAGCAACACAACTCATAGCAACACAACCCGTAGAAACACCCGACAGCATCTTTGTGACCATGACAACGAAACATCACACAGCAACATGTGGCTGCACGACCACGCAACATCAAGCACGCAGCCCATAAAATATAGAGCACAGCCAGAAAACAGTCAGTCAGCACGGAGCTGTGGTCGCGAGTGAACGACTACAGTTGAAGGGAGCGATAGCTTGTGAGTGGTACGCACACACCACAAGACATCACTTTTCAAAGGTAGAGAACCATATTTTGTAGTGAGAACTACCGCTGAATGGAGCGATTGCTTGTGAGTGGTACACACACACCACAAGACATCACCACTCAGAGTAGTGATCATTAAAAACGGTTCCGATCACCGCTCGCCACTGTCTGCCGCGAAGCCGCGTACGAACGACATCCGCTCGTTCGCCGTCAACGGCGCAACGCCAAGCGCGTCCGCAAGAGCGCTACTCGTCGCCGTCAACAGCGCAACGCCAAGCGGGCCAACAAGGGCGCTACTTACAGTCGCCTGCAGAGCCCCACTCACAAGGGCATTACTCATCGGCGTTAACCGAGCGCCTCTCATCGGCGCCGCCAACAGCGCAACACCAAGCGCACCCGCAAGAGCGCTACCCGTCGTCGTCAGTAGCGCCACGTCAAGCGCGCCAGCAAGAGCGCTATCCGGCGCCGCCAACAGCGCAACACCAAGCGCACCCGCAAGAGCGCTACCCGTCGCCGTCAGCAGCGCACGACAGGCATACCGAGGCTAGCAGCGCGCCATTCAACGGCGTCAACAGAGCGCTGCTCACCAGAATTGAAGCCACGCCACTACCGCCTAACGGGCCCATAACGGGACAGGAAGCCGTTACCCAACCACTGCAAATGACGGCAGCAAATTTTGTTATTTGTTATATGTTCTTTGTAGAAACTAAGAAAATTAAATTAATAAAGTGCGATTTACCAGAGCCCCGAAACTACAAATTTATTGTAACGAACCCTGGACACGGCGAGTATACCCCAGCATCGTAGAAGAAGCGGCGGGGCGAATAGAACGCTTCGTTACAATACTCTGTCAAAATTTTGTTCGATTCTGTCTGCCCGTTTAGACTTCAACCTGGCACATACATACATACTTTCACAAATATATAGTAGATTCAACCAACAGAAGAGTCTTCTTTAACACTTCAGTCTTTATCGCACAAGTTACTGTCATTCCTATCGAAATAGATCCTAGTTGCTATTTCGCTTTCGTATCATAAAGACGTGACGTCTTGGTGGAACAGTTCTTCCCGAAAAATAGCGATATCATCGGTGATGATTTTCACAGAAATGTCGTGTCGAATTAGTAACTTCCGCAATATTAAATGCTGGCAGGGATATTGCCTAGTGTATGTATGTATAAAGGATCCAATACTTATTTCAATGAAGTTTTCAGAGATAGTTGTTTACTAATTTGGATTTGCTAGACACGATATCAATGTTCTTCTTCTTCATATTTGGCGCTGTAACTAGGGTTGCCAACATTTTCTAAGAAATTTATAGTACTTTTTCAAAAAAGTCTGAAAAAATATAGTACACTTCAAATATATACAGTATTTTTGTTTTTAAGTAAAAATGCTTTTTAAGTGTACATCTTTTTTCTTTCTTAAGCATTTCCTCTATAAAAATATATATTTCTTTGAAAGTATCATATGCTTTATCGCAATCAATATTTAAAATAATATAAATCAAAAGTTAATTTTGTATTGATGAGATAGTCGCTTTATTTCTCCCATCTCAATATTTCACAATCTTTAAAGAATAAACTCTTTCTGTGAATGCCGAAGTTGCAGGAATAGAGAGCACAAGCGAAATAATTTTAAGTAAATCACAGTGCGTATTTAACTCAGAATCGACAGTTAACTACAGATTTTCAGTACAAACTGTGAACTTGGCCCTAAGTATTTTTAAAAATGTTGCCATTTTTGATCTGTGGACTCTTTGTTTTAAGGTATAGTTCTTTTGATATTGTTATATCAGTATAAATGTCATCCATTTTAAAACATTTCTTTCTTGAAAATTACTGAAATATATTTATATATATAAATGCAAAATATAGTATTTTTGCATACTATATTTTCGTCCAACAGTATATAGTACGCAGACCCAAAAAATAGTACAATACTGTCAGCCGACATGGCAGCCCTGCCTGAGTATGAGGCAACGCAAGAGACGAGCGAGAAAATAGGGAGTCGTTCGTGTGATCCCGTCGAGTCAACATCGTCTGCGAATCGTGATTGTCATTAAATATATTCCAATTAATTATAGTCATTTCAATAAATAATATTATATACATTCTAAAGTACTAGAGGTAACAGACAATTCGTATTTTATTTAAAAGGAATAGAGATCGGTAATCCTGACGAGCAAGTGGCATTATCTGTTGTGTCATTATCAGAAGTGCGCGTAAATAAACCTCGCCGTAAATAAATGAAAGCAGTGGATATAGGAATTAAATAAATGACTGTGTGTGTGCACCAATTGAAGTGCGAATCAAAGAAAAAATTCCGACGCTCGGTATGTGTACATTTAAATAGTTAGAAAAATTGGGAAATTGCGACTCGCAAAGTAAACAAAATATATGTACATACATGTACGTTTGTGTATGCGATAATGGGCTGTTTTTGCTTACGCGTAAATGTACATTTAGCGCATTTAGCTCTAAATGCTACTCTAAATGTACATTTATCCATACAAAATTCGTCATCTAAATGCAACTCAATCTTTGCATTAAGAATCTAAATGCTAAAAGCAACCCTGCGTGTTCGAAGATTCGAACAAGATTTAATGAAAAAGAGTGGCAATACCGCTTGTTTCTGTGTACATACCATGATACAAAAAAGAAGGTAGTTTCAATAAACAACTTTTTGATTAAAAAGCAGATTTTTGACAATTGCTCAATTGTGAAATATTCGAAGCGGCATTACCCAATTGTAAGTTTTTTGGTGTGGGACATTTTATATCCTAAATTTGGGATTATAAAGTAAATAGTTGTATTAATATATAACTTTTAAAACTAATCAATATCTTATTTTGAAAACGTTTATATTTTACATTAAATTCGATAACAACTTGCCAAATCATTATTTTAATATTAACACAATTTTAGTGAACATATTTTAAAATTATGTTAGTGTCCTCATGTCATCTCATTAATTCAATGTAGTTTTCTATATCGGATACGTGATTCTGAAATTACACATTTCGATGTGTTATTTAATACATATTGTCTTTGTCCATTTAACAGCAATGGAATTTACTTTGGAACTCATGGGCCGTAAAATTTTTCTAGCAACACATATTGTTTTCACATAAAATTTTGACACGCCCAAAATTGAAGGATAAAATAAATAGATAAAAACAAGTTTTCAATAAAACTGATTTGTGTAGTCCAGGGTCGTCTTTAGTAAATGTTTTTGAGGCTGTTTTAACATACCCTATCTTATTATATATTTCTTAGCTTTTCTACATTCTGAGAAGTTGGGAGAATGAAGTCTAATATTCTTTTGTGGTCAACTACGATGTTTGATTTCATTTTTTGCAATCATTAGTTCATTTCGCTTGAGGAGTCACAATGCCCATACCGGCTTTTATGAAATTTCGGACACAAGTTTTCCAATAATGGTTATAGGCTAAAACAAAACCGATATCTAAAGGGCGTGTAGAACCTCCCATACAAATCGAATTTTTCATAGTGCATATCTCTGGAAGTATTTGTGGTACTGTCCTGGAACTTTGTATGGATATATGTATATGAAGTCAATCTTAAGCTCATGGAAAAATAAGAGTTTATTGGAAAATGCGGCATGCCACCGTAGAACTAGGAATAGAGGTAAATGAAATCAATCCCAAACCTATGAAAAATGGGGGTATATGAAAACAATCTCGTAGCCGTTCAAAGAGCTAGCGGTATAAGCCAAATAAACTAAAATTCTGGTGACGCATAAAAACCTCTGGAAGCATTTACCTAGAATACAGAGATAAGGTATGTTTCCAACGAAAATATGTACAGAAAAACGGGCGCCACACCTTCTGGAAAGTAACATGATCACAGGGTGTATCCCGAAAACCATTTTAAGCTAAACCTTCAGGGATTATATTCTTGCCAAGACCCACAGGCATAAGCCGAAATTGCGTCGCAAGTTTTATGATCGGCTTGGGTAAGGTTTAACCACTTAACCCCCCTTTGTTTTCGTCGCTACTGAATTCTATAAACTGTCAGCTTTCACACAATTTAAAATATACATGTGTATTTAAAAATGTCATGAAAATTGTGTTGCTAGCTTCATGTTGCAAAATGTTTCAAGGAAATGTGGAATTTCACACTTATTTCTTGTTTATTTCTTATTATGCTATGCTTAAGAACAAAATATTTTTAAATCGACAAAATATTAATAAGAAAATTTTAAGGATTTTAGATATTGGGTATGGTAGCACGAAATGTCACAATCTGCTTAATTGTCAGGTTGTTAATATGGCGACGAAAAAGTGACAATGGAACTACCTTGTTTTTTGTATCATGGTACATACATAAATATTTGTTGACATTTTGTTTTGCTGATACATACATATTTGTGGATAGTTTTTTCCTGTGTGCGTTTAAATTAATAAATATTGACAATAAAAAATGAAGCGATCGCGAAATCTTTGGACCGCAGATGCAGAGGAGGTATTTGTGAGGTTGTGGCAACAAAAAGTGGATGACTTGAGGGGGCCCAGAAAAAACAGCCATGTCTATCAGGAGATGGCGGCAGAAATGCAGATGCAAGGATATGATGTCAATTCCTCATCTGTAAAAATTAAGATTGACAATTTGACGGCAAAATATAGGTAACTATAGTCATTCCAAAGTTATAAAAAATATTTATTCCTGTAATGTTTTTTTTTCATAGGAAGGCCAAGGCAGGTATGGGGACGACTGGAGGCTCACCTGCTTCATGGCATTCATTTGAGCAGGTACACCAAATAATTGGTGGCTTCTCCATCAATAACGTGGAAGAGCTGATAGAAGAGAGTTTTGAAGGTAATTGCTAGTTATTCAATTTACATGATTAAAATTGTAGACATATTCAAAATCATTTTTATTATTAAAAACTAATCTATATACATAAATTCAAAATACTCATTTTCAGATTCGATGTCATCATCCCCGACAAATATCTCGCCGCTTTCTCCTTCTCTTCCCCAGCTGTCGTTCATCTCCACTTCCGTCAGGATCGGGAGGGGCAACACTTCTTCTTCTTCTTCTTATTTGGCGCTGTAACCGCCTAAGCGATTTTGGCCGAGTCCAAAACAGCACGCCAGTCATTTCTCTTCTGTGCTAACTGACGCCAATTGAAAATGCCAAGTGAAGCCAAGTCCTTCTCCACCTGGTCTTTCCAACGCAGAGGAGGCCTTCCTCTTCCTCTGTTCCCAGCATCGCGGCCCGCGTTGAATATTTTCAGAGCAGGAGCGTTTCTGTCCATCCGAACGACATGGCCAAGCCAGCGGAGCCGCTGAATTTTAATTCGCTGCACTATGTCTATATCGTTGTAAAGCTCATACAGCTCATCGTTAAATCGTCTGCGATATTCGCCATCACCAACGCGTAAAGGTCCGTAAATCTTTCGCAGAATCTTTCTCTCGAAAACTCCAAGAGCCGCCTCATCAGATGCTTTCATTGTCCATGCTTCCGCGCCATACACCAGCACAGGCATGATGAGTGACTTATAGAGTGTGATCTTTGTACGACGAGAGAGGACTTTACTTCTCAATTGCCTACTCAGCCCAAAGTAGCACTTGTTGGCAAGAGTGATTCTCCGTTGGATTTCAAGGCTGACATTATTATTGGTGTTAATGCTGGTTCCCAAATAAACGAAGTCGTCTACTTTTTTCAAACTTGTAACTGTCAACAGTGACGTGGGTGCCAAGACGCGTATGCTCTGACTGTTTGTGTGCTGACAGGAGATACTTCGTTTTGTCCTCGTTCACCACCAGACCCATTCGCTTTGCTTCTCTATCCAATCCCGAGAAGGCAGAACAGACGTAGCCCTTGTTTTTACCGATTATATCGATGTCGTCGGCATACGCCAGCAATTGTACGCTCTTATAAAGTATTGTGCCTGAGCGGTTCAGTTCTGCGGCTCTTATTATCTTCTCCAACATAAGATTAAAGAAATCACACGAAAGGGGGTCCCCTTGTCTGAAACCTCGTTTGGTATCAAACGGCTCGGAGAGGTCCTTCCCTATTCTGACGGAGCTGGTGGTATTGCTCAACGTCATTTTACACAGCCGTATTAGTTTCGCGGGGATACCAAATTCAGACATCGCGGCATAAAGGCAACTTCTCTTCGTGCTGTCGAAAGCGGCTTTGAAATCGACAAATAGATGGTGTGTGTCGATCCTATTCTCGCGGGTCTTTTCCAAGATTTGGCGTATTGTGAATACCTGATCTATGGTGGATTTTCCAGGCCTAAAGCCACACTGATAAGGTCCAATCAGCTCGTTGACGGTGGGCTTCAGTCTTTCGCACAATACGCTCGATAAGACCTTGTAACCTATGCTTAGAAGGCTAATTCCGCGGTAGTTGGCGCGTATGGCGGGGTCGCCTTTCTTGTGGATTGGGCAGAGCACACTTAAATTCCAGTCGTCGGGCATGCGTTCATCTGACCATATTCTGCATACGAGCTGATGCATGCACCTCATCAGCTCCTCGCCGCCGTACTTGAATAGCTCGGCTGGCAGGCCGTCAGCTCCAGCAGCTTTGTTGTTTTTCAGCCGCGTAATCGCTATTCGTACCTCGTCATAGTCAGGCGGTGGGACAGCTACTCCATCATCATCGACTGGGGACTCGGGTTCGTCTTCCTCACTACTTTCAGCGCTGCTACCATTCAGTAGGTTATAAAAGTGTTCCCTCCATAATTTAAGTATATTCTGGACATCGGTCACTAGGTCGCCATTGTTGTTCTTACAGGAGTTCGCCCCGGTCTTGAAACCTTCCGTAAGTCGCCTAACCCTCTGGTAGAATTTTCGGGCGTTCTTCCTGTCGGCCAGCATCTCAAGCTCTTCGCACTCACGTATTTCGGCCTCTCTCTTCTTATTACGGCAAATACGTCTCGCTTCCTTCTTCAGTTCCCTATAACGGCCCCACATGGCTCGCGTTGCGCCCGATCGCAGCGTGGCCCTGTAGGCGGCATCTTTTTTCTCTGCGGCTTCTTGACATTCCTCATCGTACCAGTTGTTCTTTCGGGCTCGCTGAAATCCAACTACTTCTTCGGCGGCGGTACTTAATGATCGGGAAATGTGGTTCCACTGCTCGCGTACGTCGGATTGTTGAAGAGTGCTCTCAGAGAGCAGGTGTGTGAGTCGAGTGGCGAATAAATTGGCCGTCTGTTGTGATTGCAGCTTTTCGACGTTAAGCTTTCCTTGCATTGTTGGGCGCACATTTTTTGCTGCACAGAGGCGGGTGCGTATCTTGGCTACAACAAGATAGTGGTCCGAGTCGATGTTTGGCCCTCGGAGTGTACGTACGTCCAAAACGCTTGAAGCATGCCTTCCGTCTATCACAACATGATCGATTTGGTTTCTCGTTTTTCGATCTGGAGACAGCCATGTAGCTTGGTGGATGTTCTTATGCTGGAACCTAGTACTACATATTACCATATTTCGGGCCCCGGCGAAGTCGATCAGCCTCAGTCCGTTATCGGACGTTTCGTCGTGGAGGCTGAATTTTCCGACAGTGGCGCCAAAGATCCCTTCCTTGCCCACCTTGGCATTAAAATCGCCAAGCACGATTTTGACATCGTGTCGGGGGCAGCGCTCATATGTACGTTCCAAGCGCTCATAGAAGAGATCCTTGGACGCTTCATCCTTCTCTTCCGTCGGGGCATGGGCGCAGATGAGCGAGATGTTGAAGAATCTAGCTTTGATGCGGATTGTGGCTAGACGATCGTCCACCGGGGTGAACGCCAGTACTCGGCGACGGAGTCTCTCTCCTACCACGAATCCAACACCGAATTTGCGCTCCTTTACGTGGCAACTGTAGTAGACGTCGCAAGGCTTCACGCTTACTTTACCTTGCCCCGTCCATCGCATTTCTTGGATGGCGGTGATGTCAGCCTTTGTCTTCCCGAGGACATCAACCAGCCGGGCAGAGGCACCTTCCCCATTAAGGGTCCGGATATTCCAGGTGCATACCCTTAAATCATAGTCCTTTATACGTTTGCCGTGGTCGTCATCAGAAAAAGGGGGTCTCATCCGAGGCTTGTTGGAATTTTTTATTGGGCGGGGTTTTAACGTGGCGGGACCCAAACCCAGCGCACGCGAAGTTTTACGCCTTCTCACTTTAGCTCGCTCCCAAACGGGTGTTTGGTTGCTACCCAGAGGATACGTGGATATAAATATCCGGACGTTGTGAGCTGCGATTTGAACCGTACGCACAAGAATCGCTTCTGGCCACTCCCAGGTGAATGGCAGTCAAAAGTTTTCCACTTCTGCGCACGGAACCATCCTCCAGGGGCAACACTTCCCCCATCAATATCAAGCGCAGCAACATCTACCAGATCTGGAAAACACAAACAGATGGATCGATTAGTGACGATTTGTGAGGGTATCCAAAGCAATTTTTCGGAGGCTATGGAAAAATTCACAAAATCGAACGATGAATTGGTCGAAATAGAAAAGGCAAAGCTAGTCGCAATGCAAGAACTGCAGAGGGACGCAAGAAGGCTGACGGATGGAGTACTTGATTTTTTAAATAGATTTTAAGGAAATAGTATGTAGAAATTAGACTGA